AAAAAAAAAAAAAAAAAACACTGTGATGGACGTTGCTTGGGAGGTTGACCAAAAGAAAAGAAAAAAAAAAGGAAAAAAAGAAAAGTGACAAGGGTGGGATTCGAACCCACGCCCTCAAGGAGGACCAGAATATCTTGGGTGGTGATCACCGCTGATTATTACTGATTAAGGTTAGCCTTAATCTGGCGCCTTAGACCGCTCGGCCACCTTGCCGGTGTTGATATAAGACGCAGACTAAGGTCGCCTGTTGAGGACCCTGGGCGGCTTTCCCACCACGCAAATGTCATTAACTCCCTGACGCCTTTACATCCGCCATTGCAAGGAGTCTGCAGAAATACCCGGCCAGCGTGGCTTTTCTCGCCATGTCTGGGGTACCGTCTGGGCATGGTAACTCTTCTTCCTGTCTTCTCCCGGGCTAGATACTCCGGAAGAGACTCTACACTTGGTGGTTACTGGTGACGGAGTGAAAGTCCAGCGCCATGGAGGCTCAGCGACAGGTTCGAGGCCTGGGGAGTAACAACCCGGATATCCCCCACCCGGCATCTATAACTCGTCCGATGGTCTCTGAAGAATGGGACTATGTCTCGCCAAGCGGCTATCGTGTCTCCGAACATATGATCAATGAGCCATTTCCGGGAAAGGAGTCGTTCAAGATCATCATGGCCGGCTGTGGTCCAGCGGGAATCGATTTCCTACACCATGCCGTGAAGGAATTTGGGGCAGAAGGTGACTCTGGGGTAGAATTCATATGCTATGAAAAGAACCATGATGTTGGCGGTACGTGGCTGGAGAATAGATACCCAGGTTGTGCCTGTGATGTGCCAAGTGCTAGCTACCAGTTCCCCTGGAGACCAAATCCCGACTGGACAAAGTATTACTCCCCATCAAAGGAGATCTGGGAATGCTTTAAAGGGATAGTTGAGGAAGAGGGGATGATGAAGTATATACGATTGCGAACTTCTGTCATTCGAGCTGAATGGGATGAAGACAGGTCGAAGTGGTTAATTACTGTCCAGGAAAGGGACACAACTGACGCTGTTGTCAATACCTGGGTCGAGGAATGTGACTTATTCTTGACAGGGACGGGAATCTTAAAGTGAGCATAGCACTTTTTTTACCACCTATCTCCTAGAGTAAGTATTCTACTTTGGATGCTTATACCTAGACAAAGTGCTTGGAAATGGCCAGACATACCCGGCCTTACGTCCTTCAAAGGCAAACTGTTTCACACCGCACAGTATGAAGAAGGATATAACCTAAGAGCCAAACGGGTTGCTGTTATCGGCTCTGGAAGCTCAGGGGTACAGACAGTGGCAGCTGTATACAATGACGCTGACAGACTGTATACCTGGGTGAGAACCCCTACTTGGATCACTGCTGGATTCGGACCTAAATATGCCGGAAAAGGGGGATCGAACTTTTCTTGTGAGTCGACGTGTACTTTGTATCTATCAGTGGACTACTGCTAATTTGATACTAGATGATGAAGAACAAAAGAAACTATGGAGGGATGACCCTGAAAAATACAGAACATACAGAAAAATGATCGAAGATGAACTAAACAGTAGATTTCGATTCGTTCTAAGAAATAGCAAAGAGTCCGATGATGCAAATGAGGTGGGTTCACTTCCGGTAATTAACTACCAATGTGGTCACACTACTAACAGATATCTGGTATTGATAGTTCTCCTATAAGGAAATGACGTCGAAGCTCGGAGATAATCAACGGCTTAAAGATACAATAATACCCACTAACTTTAACGTCGGTTGCCGACGCGCCACTCCAGGAAATGGATATCTCGAAGCTCTTGTGGGTGAGAAGACAACCTGCTATACCGAAGCCATCAAGCAAATTACCGAAAAGGGATTTCTAGACCCCGACGGCAAAGAGGTAGAAGTGGATGTCATTATCTGTGCCACAGGATTCGACACTTCATTCCGTCCTCGATTCCCCATCATTGGCCTTGATAAGAAGGACTTAGCTACGCGTTGGGCACGAGAGCCAGACGCTTATGTAGCTGTCAGTGTTCCCAATGTTCCCAATTACTTCACGTATACCGGCCCCTACGGGCCCCTGGCGCAGGGCTCTGCACTACCCCTGCTCACCTTATACTCCAATTATTTCTTATCCGTCATCAGGAAGATGCGCAAAGAGCATATTCGCCGCCTAAGCCCCAAGGAGAGCGCGGCTGCTGCGTTTCATGAACATGCTAAAGTCTACTTGAGACGTACTGCCTGGGCCGATCCGTGCAGCAGTTGGTTCAAACAGGGGAGAAAAGATGGCAACATCGTGATGTGGCCGGGTAGTCGGCTTGCTTTCTTCGACGTTATGCGCGAGCCTAAGTTTGAGGATTATGATATTGAATATTGGAGTGGGAATCGATGGGGGTATTTGGGTAGTGGGTTTACTACGGAGGAGTTTGATGGTGAGAGTGACATTAGTTACTACTTGAATTGTAAGCTGTATCCAGATATGGAGAAGCGAAAGGAAACAAATGCGGAAGACCCTTGTTTGTTGGGAAAGGCGGATATCAATGGCCTGCTGCCTTGTACACCTGGGCATAGCGGAGTACATACTGAAGCCCGTCCATGAATCTGGAAGAATTACATCAAAGACGCATTATTTGATTGAATCGCATCCTCCTGAATCTAGCACAATGGTAAAGCTCAACTGCGGCTATTTACAAGATTAGAAGAATAACAAAGCTCAAGGAAACGGAAAAATGATGCTCAATTAAATGCGACTATGGGGATGATAAGAATACAGGCATCACTCGTCATGACTTGTTCTATGTGGTATCATAAATTCGTAAGAGCGCGGATGTAAAGGAAAGAAGGCTACTCCTCAGTGCCACGAGGAAAAAGCGAGTAAAAACAGACATGCGGTAAAGAAGGGTTATAATTATACCCCTGGTGGCGATGTTATTAGGGCATAAGCTTCTCGTGGGCTCAGTCCTAGAAAGCGGACAAGATAAGACACACTATTTATCAAGGGGTTAGTAAATGATGTCAAACAGCCGTCGCGGTAAACAAAGGTGGGGAGTACATACCTAGCTTCAGTAGCCAGGCGTTGCTTCTCAGTGAGAAATTCTTCCTGGCAACTTTCCCATGTTGCCGTTCGCTTCTTTGGAATTATGGACTTGACTCTTATCTTGAAAGTGCCGCTGACTGGTCTGTGGTCGGATACACGAACTTCATGCCGTCTATACTCCAATTGCTTGATGCGACCGAAGCCACGATATAGAAGCCGATCACACCATGCCGGTGCTCGCTTTTTCTCGCTTGAATCGTAATCATCAGTGCCAACATCGTATTTATATGTTGGTGCAAAGGTTATGGGCGCTTCATTGAATGTGCGAAGCCGGAACCCAGGATTCTTGCGCTTTGAGGCCAAAAGTTGGTCTCGATCAAGCAGTTTTGGAAGGTTATTAGCTTTAACGGCTTCGATCACTGTATTTCGAGGAATTGAGTCGATGCGGTAATTGAGATCTCCGTTTAATATGCATATTTCATGGTCGAGAATCATCGATCCGTCTCCACCACCAGTATAGCGATCAATTCGAGCTGACATGCTGGGTTCTCTGGGAAGTGCTTCGCTTTCCATAATGGCAGCGATGTCGTTATTTCTGTGCGCTGTCTGGCTTTGGCCAGCCGCTAAGTGGCAGTTGACGAAGCACAGAGAACTGTCATCCAGGAGAAATCTGAGAATGAGGGCGCCCTACCGATAACTGATTAGTATTGCCCATCAGAAGACATGATGAGGAGAGTACGTACCTTATTTCCATGAAGACCGCCCATTCCACGTTTAACCTCCGCTGCGCTTACGTTCGTGATCCTTTCGCGCGTTTCTTGCCTTACGAATACACAAGTAAACAGTCCAATCAAGCTTGCGGTGTGGAGCAAGACATAGGACTCGTTAATCGGCATATGTTCACGGATGCACAATGCAAGATAATCCTTCCAGACACGGTATTGCCTACTCATCCTCTCTTTGTCGGCATCTTTCTTTTTGCCTTTCAGGAAACTCTCTAAAAATGTCGTTAGTGGGTGCTTTTGTTGTAAACAGAAGTGTAGGTTTACTAACTTGCAGTGATCTTCTTATCTTCAAGGTCGACAAGCTCTTGGAAGCCGAACACCAATATGTCCGGAGCACTTTCAGGGTGAATAGCGTCTCGAATGAAATTGCTATTTGGTAACTTGCCAGGAACAGTTGCACCAGCATTCCAGGTGACAATTGCGGCTGAAATTTCATTGAATTGGCAATATTCAACGTCTCTACTTTGCATCCTGGCCTCTGCAGTAGGGAGCAATTAGTATGTATATAGGCATGAGTTAAAAAAAGGAGGAATTAACATACCAAGCCAGTCTTCCTCGAGCATGGCATCCCAAATACGAAGATAGTTGTCAACACCAAGTGATATAACTTGGAGCTTGTTAACAGTCCACACTGAGCTCAGGTCAAGTGTTATCCCGCAAACCCCATGGTTATGAGCGCTCCAATCCTTTTTGACTGTCCACGGGTTCGTTGAGGTATCGTATACGTAGATCATGCCGGTCTTGTAGCTCGCCCATAGATAGTCGCCGACCATAGCTAGGGAACTAATCTTGTACATACTGACGGTGACAGTACCAAGATAAGCATAGTCTTTTGAGCTGTATATTGTTACTTTGCCATCTGCATGCCCAAGGTATACCATACCACCGTTACTCGTGGTCATTGTTCCGCAGGTCACTTCGCTTGAATGATGTTTACCCAGAGGTGATGTAAGCACTTGAAAGGCGGTATCTTGTGCGTGGGGTCTGTAGAGCCGCACTTCCTTGCCAGTGGCATACCAGATGGTGTCTCCGACAACCATTGAAAATGTATGCCCCTTTACCATGCGGTCATACGGGTGGTTGTAACTGTATTGAAGGTTCGGGGCACCTGACTCATCTGGGACCCATAC